TTAATGAAAATAATTAAGGCTTGATTAATACGTTCACATCAGACGGGATGATTGTAGGATCATCTGGGATGATCAGTTTAAAAACCTTAGTTGTTTAAGGATGATCACATATCAGACAGCTTCTATTCAGGGCGATGTTCTGGAAAATTTTAATAGATTTGAACTAATCGTCCAGGACGATTGTAAGATCGTCCTGGATGATCAAGCTATTTTTCAATTGTGCATATATCCTTTCAGTGCGATTATCTGGATGATTTGTACTAATCATACTGGATGATAATTTTTTTTTTTTGAGAAATAAAATTTGGAATTTAATGAAAGAAGCTAATTACAAACTAAAGCAAAGGCTCACATTCCTTGTTCGATAAAAAACAAAGAGAATGAGGAATGTTAGCAAAGGAATAGCTATCAAAGTAAAAGTTTGTATCAAGAGCTAAAGTAGCACACAAATCAGCTACCTTATTACAATTTCTATGAACATGATGAAGAATTACCTTATTGAAATCAATTAAGAAAAGAAAGTCCTCCTCCTTCCGATTGAAACCTTGCCAATTGGTCTTGTTCAAAGACTTTCGAATGAATTTGATAACATTGATGTTATCTCCGTCAATTATTACCCCTTTACCTTCAAGCATCCAAGGTTGGATAAGTCTTCTAAGAGTCATAATAGCATCCATTTCAAGATGAGCAATATCCCAATGCGTTCTCTTTTCTCCAAAAGAAATCAACAATCTTCCTTTATAATCCCTGAAACAGCCTCCAATTCCAGCCGTATAAGAAGTCATGAGAGATGCATCCACATTAATCTTAATCCAATCTTGCGGTGGAGGGTGCCAAGAGATTTGAAACTCTCAAGGGAGATTAATACCCCAGCTATCAATGACGGGATTAAGATTGTTACCTGCAGAATAAAGCACATAAGCCGCTAGAATAGGAATGGAAGTTGCTGTTTTCCATGCTTAACAACATTTCTTTTCTTCCAATTTTGGTTCACCGCATTGCAGTAAAGTCTAACTGTGTTTGGTGTAAGAGTAGAGAGGATTTTCAGCTCAGCTAAACATTCATTCATGGATTCAAAAATCGGAACAAAGACCCCCCATTTCTGGATTTGTTTAAGGATTTTCTGCAACTATTTACATCTAACAGTAATATGCTCCATATTTTCACATTTTGAACAACCTCTAGCACAACATTCATCCTCAGTAAGTTTTCTATACTTTAAAAACTCATTGGTAGGAATAGCTTCTTTACTCACCCTCCACCAGAAAAGATCAACACGAACAGATAATTTTAATTTCCTCAACCAATTGTAAAAACCCAAGTCTTCATTACTATTATTCTCCTTCTTGGAAGCTGCAACAGCACGGGCTGTTATAGTTTTCCCAGATGGAAAACTAATTTCCTCCAAAAAATCTTCATTGGCATCCTTGTCTATAGGTATCTGCATCACCACAGTAATGATTTCTTCAGTAAAAAAAACCTTTAATTCTTCTAGATTCCAGAAGCCATGATCTGTAATGAAATGGCTGAGTTTTAACCCATCCATATTTACACAATTCGCTGTAATTGGCCATTCACTTAAGCTTTTATCTAAGAGCCAAATGTCCTTAAGAGCATCAATTTTCTTCCCATTAACCACTATCCACCTCAAAAGATGTTTTAAGTGAACAACACCTTCATTCAAGACCTTCCAAGAAATAGATTTTCCATAACTATTGCATCCACGCCACCAGCATTCACCATATTTGGCAGTTATAACTTGATATAATAAAGAGTTTTGATTATTCAGCAGTCTCCAGGTAAGCCTTGCCTTGAGAGGACCAGTTCTACTCACTGCCGAGTGGAAATTCAACCCTCCTTGATCTTTTGGTTTACACAATTTGTTCCAAGCAATGTAGTGCAAACCCTTTTTTCCATCCCTTTTGTGCCAAAAAAAATTCCTGCAGCACCTATCAATCTCATGGAGGATTTTTTTTGGAACCAAAGTGTGGGCAGAAATGAAATTAGGAAGACTTAAGAGGGAAGTCTTCGCAAGAGTCATTCTCCCTGCCAAAGAAAGGCATTTACTAGCCCAAGTATTCAATTTAAGCATCACTGAATCCAAAATAAATTTGAAATCAGTTTTAACCGATCTTCTCAACATCAATTTGATTCCAAGATATTGAAATTCT